CCGGTTTTGCAAAAATGTTCCAATTTATATTTATGCACATCGTCACCTATATAGAAGGTCTATGAAATTTGAAACGTTGCTACAACTACTGCAGTCTAAGCTCGGGAAGGTGTGGACGAAACGAAAAAAAATGGACATTTCGATAACAAACTGGGACTTTGCTGAAAGCAGTATCTTATAAAAAAGAAAAAGAAAAATGAAAAAAAGAAAAGAAAAAGAAAAAAGGATAAATTATAAATATAATCTCCCTAATATGATCGTGGTTCATGTATCAGCCCTGTAAATATAACATAAGGTTTGATGTAAGTTATGATTCCTTTCAGAGAGATAATAATGCATGCTAAATAGCGTCTTTAATCCTCCGATTACTCCGACAGTCTGAGAGCTTCTTTTGAGACTTGATATTTGCGAATATCTGTAAACGTCGACGACATGAAACAACCCAAAGAAAAACAACTATGCGAAAATCACAAGAGAAGAGAGGGGGGATTTGATGTTGAAACATCGCTTACCCATTAGTGGATGCGACCATAAAACGTGCCCGTAAGATGTGGCAATATATAGTAGATAGGACAGAATAATATCTCGGTCTCCTGTTTAATAGGTGAATACGTATGAATGTAAGAAAGAAAAATCGTCTGCTAGTGGTAAACTCCTAGTCATTTCTCAATGTCAATGTGGTCCAGCCGAAGTGAAAACGCGTGCTTCAATAGCGTCATTTGGAAAAGAGTGCCAATTTCAAGTTCTAATTGACGATAATAGGACAAGTTTTATTGATAAGTGTATATCCATCTGTCTATAATAGCAACAAATAGTTTTGATGCGGTTGGAAGGGTTATAAGTGCAATTATCATCGCATTGTGGAAGCATATATATTTCAATTGTATTGCTAATTATGACGTAATTGAGTTGTTTGGCAATTCATTGGCTTCGGAAACCTTCTTCGGCACTTCAACCTACAATACTGGCATCAAAAAGCAAGAAAAATGCATTGAATTGTTTTAAGCGGCGATTGTTATGACGTTGTATTATTGTTTACCTAAATTATGCCTATGTATAACCGTGCTGTCATTCAGAGAACTGCCTTAAAGCTGCTCCCAAAGAAACATCGAAATTAAAAAAGAAATAGCATCATATACCGGGCGTTAGGATAAGGGTATGTAAAAAGGGTCTCGTATCAATATTCGAAAAATATGGAACGCTTCACGAATTTGCGTGTCATCCTTGCGCAGGGGCCATGCTAATCTTCTCTGTATCGTTCCAATTTTAGTATATGTATTACGTGAGTAATACAATTGTCGAGGGGTCCGTAAGTCCATTAAGTACCCTAGACTTACCACACATCAAAGCTCCCTGGTATGACCCAGTTACAGCCATTATTATTGTTAGCATGATCGTAATTGTGACGTATAAAACAAACCCACGTGATGGGAAATGGTAATTTGCGCATGCCCACTGAACTAAATAGAAATAGATCAAGGCAAAGTAGTTATATCTGTAAAAGTCGGCGACATCAAACAACTAAAAGAAAAACAACTATACGAAAATCAAAAGAGAAGGGAGGGGGGATTTAATGTTGAAACATCATTTACACTTTAATGGATGTGACCATAGAACATGCCCGTAAGATGTGGCGATAGGTAGTAGATAGGACAGGATAATATCTCGGTCTCCTGTTTAATAGGCGAATACGTATGAATGTTAGAAAGAAAAATCGTCTGCTAGAGGTAAACTCCTAGTCATTTCTCAATGTCAATGTGGTCCAGCCGAAGTGAAAACGCGTGCTTCAATAGCGTCATTT